GAGAGGTGTTCCTACTGTATAGCTTAAATGCCTCATTAAAAAATACGCAGTTATTTGTGGTTTGAAAGAAGGACAGTTTTTATATCTGTCTGCCAAAGTGTTAAGACTTTACATTAGGAATGCCCAGTGCTCTTTTTAGGGAAATTGTTATTAGGTGCAACATTTTTCAAGTTTTTGACAGTTGTATCATTTTAATTCTCCAAATACATAGTGCCTTTCAAGTGGAAGAAGATAAACAGGAACTCCAAAGAACAAAGGCATGTTTAAGTTCAGTTGCAGGATCTGGAAGTATCGATATTGGCAATGTGCAGGAAAATGTTGGCTCTGGAATCAGCGAGCTTTCATTTTGCCTGAACTACTTTCTGAACTGTAGTAGAATATGGGGAAAAGTACAAGTTTTATACTGAAGATCATATCATTTCCTAACATGTTCACAATTCAAGTAAAATGGATAGACTCCCATATAGTATTTATAATGCATTCTGACAAAGGAGGGCTTAACCTTCACTCTTAAAAGGACATGTGACGCCAGCACAGCATCAGGGATTTTCAGGAAGGAGAAAATTGTCAAAAGAAGAAACAACAACAAAACAATTTTTAAAACAAGACGCTTGACTTGAAGGGAAAACTATCTAGGCTTCCTTTCTTGGAGAGTAATTTCCTCTACTTAAAGCCAGAGTGCCCTACCGGTAACAGCTACATTCCAAAAAGTTGTAAAATTGACCTTGGTTTTACAATGATAAATAAAAAACATTAAAATTCTCCAATCAAGCAAGGTATGCAAGGATTTTTTCATGTCGTTGACCTTTTGCTTTTGTTAAACAGTTAGAGCACAATAACTCAGTGGAGTGTAAAGAGAGGAGGTGGATGAGCGTGCCCTCTGGAGAAGGGGTGCTTTCACAGAACCAGTGTTCCCCCCCATCGCCACCTGATGTCGATCAAAACATATCATTGGCCATTGAGTAAAAACAAACAAACAAAACCCCCCAAATAAAGGGAAAAATGCAGCGTACGTGTGCACATGCACCAGTTACTTGATGTGCAGTAAAGGAATGGGGAAGCGGAAATGAAAGAAAGAAAACTTTACTGTAGTCATCAGGAGGTGGTGGAACCAAATCTTGGTTTTCTAATTGAGGATGGATTCTCGGTAGGAAGAGAGTTCTGGAAGGAGCAGGCTCCCTTTTAGAGGGCATCTTCTGTCTGCTGCTGGAACACGTCCGTTGTATCTCCATCCTCCACGTCCATTGTATCTACATCCTCCACGTCCATTGTATATCCATCCTCCACGTCCATTGTATCTCCATCCTCACGTGCAACGGTGCAGGTGTGTCTGTCTCACACCAGAATCTTCTCTGCCTCACCGACAAACGCTGTCGTTCCCAATAGACTTTCATTGGTTTCCTAAGTGGCGGATGCCTCTTAACCTTACGCTGCACCACAGAACCGTCCTGCCTGCCACCTTCACCTGCACATGATCCTTGTTCTCAGTCGGACTCCTTCCTGGGGTTTGTCATCGGCCGCTGCTTCACAGAGGGGGACCCGGTCCCCCCCAGGAGCACCCAGCAGCCCCAGGGGCAGCTGGACATGGAGGCGGCAGGGATGGAGAGAAGAAACGAACCCTAGGGTACCGTTTCTTGTCGCACATTCACTGTTAGAGATATGAAACACAATCAGCTACGTTTGCAGAGCCACTCCTTGCCCTGTGAAGGGGAAAAGCCCAAGCCAGCCGCTTCGTTCCAAACGGAGCTCTCTAAAGTGATCCCAGGCCCCCCTCCAGCTCTCCCGGGTGAGCCCACTGACGGAGACAGGCTCTCACTTTTGTCAGAGGTTCCGACAGGACCCTTTATGGAAGCCTGGATACCTGCCTTCAGTGGTGCTATGGAAGTGTGAAAGTGTGTAACTAGAGCTGATGAATCAAGACGGGAAGCACTCAGGCATTCCCTGTACACGTGTGTGCATGTGTGTGTAATGCAGTCTTTGCAACCCCACTGCTTTATATGTTTTAAATGTATCCAACTTTGGCATCCTAAGTAATTCTGCAATACCTCGTGGCTATAGTAAAAAAAATTAGTGGAAGCTGTTAATTTTATTACAGAAAGCTCAATGAGTAGCCAACTTAATGATATATTTTATTAAACCATACCAATCCAGTGTACTTACTGAAGCTTACTGAAGTTTGCCTACCTCTCCCACCCCACCCCACCCCACCCCACCCAAGGGAAAAGAGAACAGAATTAAAATTTTTCATTCTGGCTGGGAACCCATCTCATTTGCCAGATATTTTTTAGGTGGTACATAGTAAAATTGCCATATGTAAATGGCATTTTCCCTACTCTTAAGACATTAATTCATTTTTTGAGATACAGAACATTTTTATTAGCTTTACAAGAGTCTTATTTCTTTTTGTAGGCCATTCTTTCTGTATTCCTTACCCCAAAAACTACCAATCTGTTTTTCACCACTATATGTTAGTTTGTAATTTCTAGAATTTTATATAAATGAAATCATAGGCATTTTTTGGGTGTCAATCTTCTTTTGCCTAGTATATTGTATTAGTCTGGGTACGTTAGACAAACAAATCCACAGAAACTCATGTGTAAGAGAGTTTTATATAAAGGTTAAGTGCACATTTAGAAAGCATCACACCAATGAAAATTACAACTTTCCTCTAGTTCCTAAATGCTTCCTCCCCGCCTCCACTATCATGATACGAATTCTACCTTGCAAGTCTGGCTAGACCAGAGGATGTACACTGGTACAGATAGGAACTGGAAACACAGGGAATCCAGGGCAGATGATCCCTACAGGACCAGTGGTGTGAGTGGCGATACTGGGAGGGTAGAGGGAGAGTGGGTTGGAAAGAGGGAACCGATTACAAGGAACTGTATGTGACCTCCTCCCTGGGGGACAGACAACCGAAAAGTGGGTGAAGGGAGACGTCGGACGGGGCAAGATATGACAAAATAATAATTTATAAATTATGAAGGGTTCGTGAGGGAGGGGGGAGCGGGGAGGGAGGGGAAAAATGAGGACCTAATGCCGGGGGCTTAAGTGGAGAGGAAATGTTTTGAGAATGATGAGGGCAATGAATGTACAAATGTGCTTTACACAATTGATGTATGCATGGATTGTGATAGAGTTGTATGAGCCCCTAATAAAATGATTAAAAAGAAAAAAAAAAGAAAAGAAAACATCCCAACCCAGTGCTGTCCAAGCCCACAAGTCCAACATTAACCTATTAACCCATATGTCCGACACCAATCCACAAAGTCCTCCATCTCACAAAACACACACAATGATGCCAGCTGCAGAAGGAAAGCCGAGTCAGTGAACTTGTAAGCATCTCAGTGCTGGCAGGGTCTCCACACGGCTGCTCAAGCACCCAGGGCTCCATCGGGGTAGGTCCATGTGGCTTCTCCTGGGGGATGTCTTGCAGGAAGGAAGCCTTGTCAACTGAAGTAGGGAACTGACTAAGGCAGCTGCACCCTGGTCCCACCATCACAAAGCAAGAGATCTGAGAACGAGAAAGGCGAGGCTCACTGAGCCATTTATCCTTCTGCCCTTCAATTAACCCCACGTGTGTTTATATGCCAAGTTGGCACAATAAACTAACTAACTCATATATGTTGTATCATTTAGAAACTCAACCCCTACCATCAAGTCAATTCCGACTCATAGCAACCCTATAGAACGGACTAGAACTGCCCCTGATACAGCATTAAATTTCAAAGTTCAGGGAGCAGATAACATGTTTCCCATGTTAAACATATGTACGAGTAATTCAGGGCACAGAGGTTAGGCTAGCAAGTCCACCTTCGGTGAACCCAGTGGGGTAGAGAAGGACTGGAAGTGACTGCTGCAAGGAGGCCAGGTTGTGGCCAGTCAGATGGCGTGGGCTGCAGCAGAACGCTTTTAAGGAACAAACAGGAGCAGTTATCATCTGAGGGAGCAAGGAATAGCAGAGCTGACTATAGCCCACTTCCAGACCCTTCAAGAAATGGATCAGGGGAGGGAAGGAGTGTCCATAAGAGGACTGTAGAAGAAGCTTTGCCCCTGGGAGAACAATGCTACATTTGGGCAAGGGTGAGAAGTAGACTTAGCTGCAGCCTGATGGGATTGCATGGAGATGTTAGCAGGTGAGGGGTAGCTACAGGGCAGGCAGAGCATCACTGAGCAAATGGCATGGAACACTGTTCTCCTCTGAGGGTAGGGAGTTGGTGGTAAAGACTGGCTTGCAATCCAGAGACATTTGATGGCCTTAGGGCTGCTGGGCTTGCCTGACGCCTGACGTTGGAAGGAAGTTGTTGGTCAATGGACCTCGTCGTGTATAGCCACCTGTCCGTCAGGAGAGGCTTGTATGTTACTGTGAGACTGAACATGTTGCAGCAGAGCCTTGAGTCTAAGACAGATTAAGAAGAAAAGCCTAGTGAACTACTTTGAAAAATCATCCAAAGAAAATCACAATGGTTCAGCCTCCCCCTGACTATGAGGATGGCACAAGATGAGGGGACATTGCATTCCGGTGTGCATGGAGTTTCCATGAAGTGAGGGCTGCCGTGATGGCTGCTAACAACACTGGCAGTGATCATGGCACTCATGTAGGAGTTTGGCGGTGCTCTGTAGATTTAAGAAGCCATTTCTGTGATTGTTGCTCTCGAAGATTATAGTTCCAAAACTGTAGCATGTAGGGAGGGGCACTGAATCACTATGTAGTTTTGTGCTCACTGAGAACTAGTGGTATTGATCTCAATCCCCCTTCCCACCTCAATGCCCCACAATCCCACAGACTCTTGTGACAATACAGGCAATTTCTTGAAGTTCAGTAGGTGGTGATGGTCTTTACATGCCAAACCAAAGCTGGCATCTCCGGAGCAGCCCTTCTAACCGAATCCACAAGTCTTGCCCAGGCTTTGCCCACCTAGATAAATGCGCTTGTGAACAAGTTATGAGTGGTGTCTGCATACTCTGGCTTGTTGTCTCACTGTCTGCCTCTATTACAGGTGCTGCAACACAGTCAATGTAATTTGAAGGAGGCAAGGAGGAGGAACCCATGGCTTTAGCTGGCTGCCCAGATTCCTTTTTGCACCATCCGTACTACCAGGTATGGGTGAGCGTGAACCTCTGATGCTGCAAACATGCCATTAACAACCACTAACTCTTTGGGTTACTAGTAGGTCACTAAGGAAATACTGGACTTTGGACTGCTGGTAAGTTTAACCAGCACGTTCTGCCATGGTCTGGTGGCCTTGCTTTTCTCATCTCGGTATTTCCCGTTGACCCTGGTATCCTTTCTAAAAATTTCCATTTGATATTTGTGATTAGACTTTAGGAGTAAAACAGGTGCTGGGTTGTTCACCTCCCGTCCTAAAACTCTAAATGGCAATTTAGAATGATGGCATAGTGAGATACCCACTTGGCAACATGGCTGAAAGGGGGGTGGTTTATTAATAGAGTTACCTGCTTATCACAAGTCTTTTATAGATGGGTTCGTTGATGGATGCTGTGTTAGTGACGTTGTGTTATTATCATGGACGGAGCCCTGGCGGTATAGGAGGTTTTGTGTTGGGCTGCTATGACTGAAGTTAGCAGTTCAAAACCACCAGCCGTTGCATGGGGGAAAGATGACGCTTTCTACCCCCTTGAAGATTTACAGTGTGAAAAACTCACAGGGACAGTTTTGTCCTATCGTGCGTCAGAATTGACTTGATGGAAGTGAATTTTGAGTTACTGTAACAGAATTACCACAAGTGGCTTTTACATGTCAAGTCATTTCCAGCTCACAGCGACTCTACAGGACAGCGTAGGACTTCTCCATGGGGTTTTGAGATTAGACATCTTTACTGGAGCAGGCAGCCTCATCTTTCTTCCTTGGAGCTGCTGGTGGGTTTGAACCATAGACCTTGCA